ATCCCCACTTACAAAAAAGGAGTAAGTATAAATGAGGCAGATAAGTGCTTTTTACAAATATCATTTCAGAAACAGGAAACTTGATTTTCTAAATTTCATTAGGGTATGTATTAAAAAGACGATGGTTATCAATGATTTCTTTCAAGTATTTCCTGTCATTTCTGGGGACAGATGCTGTAAGCAGGGGATGGACAAGCAAGTGTGGAGGACTGGAACAGCAGCAGAATGGGGTGCTAGCTGAGGGGGAGGAGGTCACTACTCCATGAAATACCACACACAGTTTACCCAGTTTTCAAATTTCAGCTAGTCAGTATATTATTTTGGATTCCAATATCGTCACTTATCCTTAAGTCCTGGAAAAATGTCTATTTATGATCAAACTGACCGGTTTTTCCTGCACTCTTCCCACAGGTATGTACAGAACCTGTGAGCAAGGGAGGCACGGGGCCCTCCCATTCACTGGGCACTCAGAGCCGCCACCACTGCAGGGGCTTTACAACCATCTCTCCGGGTGACGTGCACAGGGTTCACGTCTTTCAGAAGGTGCTAGAGGGAGGCGTGGTTACAGAAATGACTGGTTTGCCTCAACTCCACCACCATGAGGTAGATAGAAGCCCCTCGCCTTTTTGGGATCCAGCTGATGAAGGACAGAACTTATCCATGAGTAATTTGCTAGAAAAACAAGGCTTCTGACCTCTAAATCTCCAGTGCATCACAAACTTCCTGCTATTATCTAATAACCCCCCCAATGCAGCCATCCCTGTTTCCATGGTAACCGACAGAGAAATAGCAGCCTGTCAAATGGCTTTTGTAGTTCCTCTTCCAGCTTGTTTTTCAGTATAGAATTAAAGCTAGCTGGAAAAAGAACCAGACTAATAGTTACAGCAGGGACATGATGCAGTCTGAAAAGACAACTGCACTCGGGACAAGGAGTGTGAACGAGCATTCACAACTCAGCTGGGTAGAATCAAAATGATTCCTGATTTCTCAAAAGTGTCTGAGGAATATCTGGTAAGCTTTCCTTTTTTCTTAAGATGGTATAACCTGACACTGGCCAGAGGCAGATGTAGTGCTATTCCCTCAGTCTGTAACTAAGTTAACAAAGGGATGGGGTGAATGGAAGAACAAGCAAGTTTGCTATGCCCCCAGGCACCTTATCATCAAAGGAAAAAATAACTTACTCTAGCCCTGGCGGGTTTGGCTCAGGGGTTAGAGCGTCGGCCTGCGGTCCAGAGAGACATGGGTTCAGTTCCCGCTAAGGGCGTGTGCCTCTGTTGCAGTTTGTCCCCGGCCCCGGTTGGAGTTGGGCGGGAGGCGACGTGTCCCTTTTTCTCATCGATATCTCTCTCTCTCTCTCTCTCTCTCTCTCTTCCTCCCACTCTATCTGAAAAAAAAATGGAAAAATGTCCCCAAGTGAGGATAAAAAAAATAATAATAACTTATTCTAAAATCAAAATGAATGGGCAGGAGTGGACAGACTTGGACTGCAGAACAGTGAAAAAGGACTGGCACCTCGGAGGAGTGAAATGTTTGCTCCCAGGCACAGTGCACGGGGAGAAGTGGTTAGGAACACAATGTGTGGAACCCGGACAGCTTTCAGAAGATCAGCAGCTACAGATCTGCTTAAGGTGCCAGACCCAAAACAAACAGCTGCTGCAGGGGTGGAGGAGTTTGACTGTAAAAAAGAAAGACTATTTCTCGTTGAAAGTGCCCCCAAACAGATGCTTTTCTGTCTTAAAACTGCACATCTGAATGAAGTGCAGGAAATCTCATGATTCTGTCCGTTTCAGATGGGAAGCTGATGAAGGCAAAAAGATAGTTGCTTCTCTTCTGATAGGTTGAAACAAACTGGATTTTGAAAGAGATTCCCTCTGACAACATCTAGCACACTCTGAATGTCTTGGTGACAAACAGGAAAATTACTATCTATAGTGGCATACCGAGATAGGTGCCTAAGAGTTACAGAGAGTCGAACTCCTAAAATTCCACACAGAAGACTAACCCAACTTCTGCTTTTAAATTTGTTTTATCTTGGGTTATACGAATCATGAGTCATATTCCCAGAGCCATCACCGGAGTTTAGAGATAAAGGTAGACAAAGACTTGCAATAACCATTTCCTTTCAATCCTTCAGAAAGGGGTCATTACAGTAAGATGAAGATGATGTACTCTAGACACATTTTCAAGGCTGTCAACTCAAAGAAAGGCTTCCGCACAAGTTTAGCGAGATTTGCAGAGCCCCAGATTTGTATCTGTTAAACTTGGAGTCTTTCAAAAAGCTAAACTTGGGTTCTCTTTACTCAAGAATGAGACTTAAAGGTTCTGGGGGGAAAATTCATTTTTTAAACTGTTTTTCACTTTATGCATGATTATAATTCAAATATATTAACATTAATTTCCCCATCTTAAACAAAAGCCAGAATTGAAGGAATATAAAATTGTAATAACTTCAATCATAGCTAAGGCTGTGTAGGAAGCCAAAACTTACTAGGGTTAATAACCTGAGGTACTAACACATTTATATTTCCTCCCCAATTTTGTTTCCTTGTCAACACTGTTTCAAAATCTCAGACAAATTTTCTTACTTATTAGATCTGTATTTTTATCAAATCAGCCACCATAGTTATACTGCAGATTCCCCTGCTACTGGCAGACAATTAAAGGGACTTGACTACGCTGTTAGTGTTTCATGGCCTGTACTTTCCCTCACGTTAATCAAAACAGACTCCAAGAAGCCTTGAGAAGATAAAGCTTCAGTATGAGCAGTCTCTCTTTTAAACGGAGATTTTGTTCCAAGTGGTTGCCCTAAGAAACAGTGTTATGTGATAGTTATATTCTTCATCCACGCATTAACCTATAAGATAACTGAAGTATATTATCAAGAAACAGCTCTTGAGCACCATGAATGTTTTCCATCAGCAAAAGCCTTCAGCTTCCTGGAAGCAAAAAGGAACGGAGGTGTTCTGTACACCAGAACACTACTAATGCTTAACAGCAGTTGGAAACGGCTTATTCAGTAAAACTAATTATCCAGAAAGCATGCTTTGGGAATTCTTAAACTTCAATCTATAAATAGGCCAAAAATGTTTTTTAAAAGGGGATGGTGGTAAATGTATGTGTGTAAAGAAACAGTCACTGAATCTGTAAATACTTGACAACAAATAAAAGAACTGAGAACTAGAGATTAGGACCATAGTGGATTACAGAGGACATGCTGTTGCTTTTCCTCCAGGAGGAAGGCACAGCACTGCTAGATCCTGCGCTCCAGGAGGGGAAAGATGACTTCATCTTATTCATGGCTCCAGCCCCAGCTCCCAGGACCACACCTAGCAAATACTTGGTGTTCCATGTTTGGTTTGAGAGAAGGGTCTCAATTAAAAATGAGACATGGTGGCCCTGGCCGGTTTGGCTCAGCGGTTAGAGCGCCCGCCTGCGGTCCGGAGAGACCCGGGTTCGGTTCCCGCTAAGGGCATGTACCTTGGTTGCAGTTTGTCCCCGGCCCTGTTTGGTCGTGCGGGTGGCAGCCACTCGATGTGTCCCTTTCACATCGATGTTTCTCTCTCTCTCTCTTCCCCTCTCTCCCTCCCACTGTCTGTACAAAAATGGAAAAATGTCCTCGGGTGAGGATAAAAAAAAAAATAAAAATAAAAATAAAAATGAGACATGGTGTTTCTCTGCTATTCATGTAACAGCGTCTTACTAAGGACAGGATGAATTCTTCACATGTGTGAACTTGGGATTTAACTGAGTGGAAGCCTATGTGGAAAAGCATAACAAGACCTCAAAGGAATATGGCAAAGGCTGGGCAGTCTGCTTCTCGAGTGGTATTCCCTGGTACATGAGAAGGCTCTGCCAACGAAACTACTCAAAGTGCTCAGGGCAGGTTCACTCAGTAACTCACTGGCAACTGACAATCCCCTGCTAACACAGATCAAAATTTCTGTGTAAACAAAGTAAAGAAAACCCAAATCAGTGGAAAGTATACATACAAAAGGTACTTAATGGCATAAATGCAAATAACACATTATGTTTCAAAATACTGTGCTTGGAAACCCAAATACGTGTCAGGAAACAGTTCAGTCCATTAACTGCATTCTCAAAGAAGTGTATTTGATGAAGGACAGACATGAGCACTGCCTAACTCATAATAATTATGAGGTCTGGATTAAGTCATATTCAAGACACAGCCTTGCAGGCCTTCCATGCTGACTGAATCTGGTTTAATGTTATAAAATGAATGATGGGGAAGAAACAAACTCTGAAAGTAAGATAATTTGGTAGAGATCTGCTCTTAGTGTACCTACTATCTTTCTATCTTAGTCCTAAGGTTCTATACTTTTTTGTTTGAAAAATTAACAGCCTTGTATCGCTCCCTGTCATGTACTGTAAGAACTGGGACGGAAAAGTGAAGTTACTATACAGTCAGTTTAGTCACTGCTTCTCCACCAGAGCTTGGACAGTCCCCCACCTCTGATATCTGGTGACTTTCCTCTTTGAAGAAGACCCAGCAGGATTCTGGGAGGAGGCTAAGAAGGCAGTGAGGACAATTGTGATGCTCCCCACAGGGAGGAGGCACTCAGAGCACGAAGGGCATCTCCCTTGGGCCGCCTTCCTTTCCCTCCTTGCCCCCACTAGCTTGGGCCAACCCTTCATAAGTCCTCCTTTATAGTATTTACCATAATTGTAATTATTTGGGTAATTAGTAATATCTGTCTACCAATCTCCAAAAGGATGGGGACTGCATCTGTCCTTTCCACCCATGACAATGAGCCCCCCGCACCTGGCCCAGCTGGTGGTGTCTGCTGGGTAAGTAAATGAATGAATGGGTACTTTGGAAATCAAAAGTTAACCATGGGATGAGCAATCAGTTCAAAATGTTTCAGCAACAAATCACATACTCCTCTCCCCTAAATCTGAAAATAGGAGCTCTACTTTTTTCACAGAATGACAGAAGGCAGGAAGAACATAAAATTAAAAAAAAAAAAAAAAAGAATACTCACTGGTGGGGGCTTCTTTCTCATCTCAAAAGTACGCATGGCACCAAAACTAAGCGAAGCGATGACCGGACACCTCCCTAGCGAGGGCTCGTCATCGCTGTGCCAGTCCACACTGTCCTTCTCATTTCGGTACAGATTGCAGAGCAAGGAGTTGAAGGTGTGGCCTGTGTTCTCTTCAATTTGGTTCTTCAGTGTGCGCAGCACGGGGTGCCACTGCAATCAACAGGCCAAGAAAAGGAGCAGAGACACAGATGGCAGCCACATGGAAAAACAGAAAGAAAGTGCAAAATCAGTCACGTTAAAAACAGGAGCACGGAATAAGCAAACCACTTGAAATGCAATAAACAGAAGACAAGAAGAGTAGTTCAATTCTCATCCATTATTTCTATTTTGAGCAACATGATCTCTGCAATTTTAATAAGGTATTAAATTTAGTATAACAATACCATGAGGACCAGGCCTATCTACCCATCTCATCCTTTCCATGTTAAATATATGACCCTCAAAAAGAAGAACTGTCAATAATCTGGGGCGGTCACCATGGTAGTCAATAAGTGGGGCAGTGAGTTTGGTTTGCCACCATGGCTGATGGCTCCCTGGCAGTTAGCAAATAAAGACTGAAGTCTGAAGCAGCAAAACAGCTTTCTTGCTGGGTGGCCCTCTGTTCATTCTATTCCCATTTTATTGTGGCTGGCAGAACTGCTTTAAAAAAAAAGATATTTAATATTTCCAGAGTGGCTGGCTTCCTAAAAACATAACCTGACAGGGGAAAACTATTCCTTTCTACAGGATGGAATCATGACATGGCCTTGGTAAGTGTATACTGTGAACTCCAGAAGCTTTTAACAGGTCGCACCAAGTTCATTTATGTAGTTTACACTTTAGAAATCACTGTCTACACTACAGGAAGCTATGACTCCTGGCCTGAGGTTGTACTCTGGAGCTACCAGCAGCATAGCTGGATTAATTCTTGTTAGAATTCTATGTCTTTCCTCCAAGAAACCGCAGGTGCTTTACAGAGCACTTCCTTTAGGACAGTGGTTCTCAAACCTGACACTATCGAAACCTATTGAGGACCCCACAGAACTTCTGTTTATAAGGGTTACAGCTATGAGATTTGCCATGTTAAAGATTAAAGCTGAAAAAATGTAAGCTATTGGTTAATTCATTTAAAAATAACAAACCCATTACATGTTAACAAAATGTTATTTTATAAAAAATAACTATATTTTCTAATACAAACAATTGATGAGAGGAGCAGTACTGCTTTGCAATCTCTTTAATGTCTGGCTTAACTGAACACAGCTGACTGTCAGATCTGTTTCTGCAGTCAGTCTACTACAATATGTTGTTTTCACTGAAGCATGTGAAGAAAGCTGCCTCCACACAGATATGGAGCTAGAAAAGAGTCTTTCATAGCTTTTTCAAATAATTACAGATATTCGTTGATATTACACCAAAACTCAACAAGTACTAATTTCTTAAAGGTCAGTTGCAATGTGGAATCTAAAACCATATGAACAAACTTTTCATATTCTGTTATACTTAAATCCACTGGTCCATCTCGCATTTTGAATGGATCTTTTCATCCTGTATAGTTCTGTAACATCAAGTGTTGGTCATTTGGAAAACATTGGCTCACTGAGTTGTACAGATCTTCTGACTGTTGACACATTTCATTGTACAATATCAAAAAATCACATCTGTTAATATTACCACAGATCTCATCAGAGAAGACAAAGTAATAGAAAGAGGTCAAGATCAAGGTGGCAGTTATGAGTTTTTCCAAAATTCTAATTTTTGCTTGAAAACTCAACCTCTATCATTAGTAATAAATCCTGTTCATTATTTTCCTTGAAGTGACACTCACTTCATTCATTTATGAGAATATGTTTGCCAAATACTCAAGTGTGAATAACTATAGTTTGTCTACTGGTTGTTCTTCCAAGGAAAAAAAATGGTCCATGAAAAAGTAGCCAGTTCAGCTTACAGCTTACACGGTTACACAAGTGTTTTTTCTCAACAACCGTCATACTTGCCCTGTATAAGGAATGCTTTACATGTACTTTGCATTTCCTCAAACTATTAAAAAGACATGTACTAGAAGATTGCGATTTAATAAAACTAATGTTTATTGTTTCATTGAGGTACGTTCTTAAAGGAACCAGCATATTTTTAAAAAACTGGAAGTACAAAAATGTGAAGAATGCAATGGTTACTAGTACAGTTTGATGACAATGCCTGATTCAAACTAAGTTTTATCCACCATTACTTTTTAATCCACCATCACTGCAAATTCAACACAGTAAAAATGTCATCCAGTCTTAGTATTATTTTATTTATTTATTTTTCTTTATTGATTTTAGAGACAGAGGAAGGGAGAGGCAGAGAGAGATAGAAACTTCAATGAGAGAGAACATTGACTGGCTGCCTCCTGCATGCCCCTCACTGGGGATCGGGCCCACAACCTGGGCATGTGTCCTGACCACTTGGTGCATGGGTCGATGCTCAACCACTGAGCAATACTGCCGGGCCAGTCTTAGTATTATTATAAAAATAGTTTGACCTTGTGGATTTCCAAAAAGGATTCTGTGGCCCCCTTCCAGGGTCCACAGATTGTACTTTAAGAACTGATACATTAGAGAAGCCCTTCAAGGTACACTTTCTAGGTTTGGTAGCAAAGGAATGAATGTACAGCAAGGAAAAGCACAGTGTGACTATTAAGTATGTCCCGTGGCTACTGTGAGGTAAAACTGCCAGGGAAGCATATGCAGAATCATTCAGCTTTGCTGTGACAAGAAAACCATGGTAAAACCTGGGACTCCTTGTTATGGATATTAGCATTACATTCTAACCAGAGGATTTTAAAAAGTAAACAGCAATAAGAACAAAACTTAGGTCAATAAAACAAATATTAATAAACTACCCTGCATTCAAGAGAATAACTTTCAAAGGGAAATTCTGTAATAATGTTAGCAAGCTGTATTTCTGATTTATTTTATAGCTTTAAGCTTAACTTCATGGAGATAAAGATCAGATGCTGGAATTACACTAAACAAGAAAAACAATGTAAAGGACCTGGAAGACAGCTCCCTGCCATGTGACTGAGAAACCAATTAGCACTTTCCTGACTTGTTTAAGGGCTGAGCACTGTGATAACACCAAGTTTGCTTATGTTTCTAAGTGGCTATATATTTTTTCTTAGTTATTTTTGGTGGTGAAGTAAGGAGAAAAGGAGAAAAAAGAGGATAATGAACTAGAGGATTAATTTAGACTCTTTAACCAATACTCTATATACAGATCCCTTAGAACTGAATGTCTAAATTAAAATTCAGCATCATCTCACTGTTCAGTAAAGACATTCTATCCTTAAAAGACATTTGAGGAAAAGAGTCTGAAAAATCTGAATTGCAGAAGTGAAAAGACCCACTCAGTGGACTTCAAAGAGTGTTCTGTAGAGGCTTAGGTGCCACAGAGCGGCCCCTGGGATTACCCAAGTCGAGCTGGGACTCCCAGACAGTCAGGGCACTCTTCTGTTTCTATATTAGATTTAGTTTGAATAAAGACTAAATGGAGCTTAATAACCTATGATTGAATCTGTTCCTGTGCTGTGGGATATTAAGTTTGAGAAAATATTTTAAAAATAAGCAAGTATTCCCAACACACATATATAAACATCAGTGAATCCCCCTTAAAAAAGCTGAGAAACGCCATGGCCAGATGGCTCAGTTGGCTGGAGTGCTGTCCCATACAACAAAGGAATGCGGGCTCGATTCCTGGTCAGGACACATATCTAGGTTATGGGTTGGATCCTCAGTAAGGGCATGTTCGGAAGGCAACCAGTCAGTGTTTCACTCTCACAGTGATGCTTCTCTCTCAATCCCCTCCACTCTCTCTAAAAATCAAGAAAAACATAGCCTCAGGGTAGGATAAAAAAAAAAAAAGATGATATGCTGATGAACAAAACAGACCCAGAGACATAGAAGTAGGGTTTAGACTGACAAACCTTAGAGGAGGGCAGGGTAAGGGAAGGGAAGAGATAAACGAAAGAACTTATATGCATTTAAGCATAACCAATGGACACAGACAACAATGCTGGGGGGCGGGGGCAGGATTAGGAGGAGGGTGTCAATAGGGGAAAAAGGAGAAACATCTGTAACAAAAATAAATTAATTTAAATAAAAAATATATTTTAAAAAATCTGAGAAAGAAGCATGTCTTTTGATTTCGTTCAAGATAGTATTTAAATAAACTAAATCTATTAGCAATAAAGACAAAATTATGGCCCAGCGGGTGTGGCTCAGTGGTTGAGTGTTGACCCATGCACCAAGAGGTCATCGGTTTGATTCCTGGTCAGGGCACATGCCCAGGTTGTGGGCTAAATCCCCAGTGGGGGGCATGCAGGAGGTGGCCAATTGATGTTCTGTCTCGTCAATGTTTCTATCTCTCTCTCCCTCTCCCTTCCTCTCTCTATAAAATCAATAAAGAAAAAAATTTTTTTAAATTATGAGCTAGCCAAATTCAAATGAAAGATTTCTAATTTTACAATTTTAATATCCAACAAAAGAGGCTTTCTTGAAAAATTGATGGTATACATCAAATATGGAATACTGGGTAGATATTAAAAATGACACTGTAAAAGAATATTCAATGATACTAAAACAGGTTAATGATACAGTTAAATGAAATGTAGTATACATTGGGGTAAAGACAGTGTACTCAATAAATGGCATTGGGAAACTTGGACAGACACATGCAAAAAGATGAAACTAGACCCCCTTCTTATACCACATACAAGAATGAACTCAAAATGGAGTAAAGACTTAAATGTAAGACTTGAAACCATAAAAGTCATGGAAAAAAACCTAGGCAGTAAAATCTCAGACATCTCTCATAGCAATGTTTTTTTTTTCTGAAATATCTCCTTGGTCAAGGGAAACAAAAGAAAAAATAAACAAATGGTACTACATTAAACTAAAAAGTTTTGCACAACAAAGGAAACCATCAACAAAACTAAAAGATAATCTACTGAATAGAAGAAGATATTTGTCAATGATATATCTGATAAGGGGTTAATTATATCCAAAATCTATAGAGTTCATACAACACCAAAACAAACAAACAAACAAAAAAAAAACAATTAAAAGATGGGCAGAGTACCTGAATAGACACTTCTCCAAAGCGGACATAAAGATGGCCAACAGACATAAGAAAAGATGCTTTACATCACTAATCATCAGAGAAATGCAAATTAAAACCCAACAGATACCACCTCACACCTGTCAGAATCCACAAACAACAAGTGTTGGCAAGGATGTAGAAAAAAGGGAGCCCTGATGCACTGTTGGTGGGATTGCAGACTGGTGTAGCCACTGTGGAAAAGAGTGTAGAGGTTCCTCAAAAAATTAAAAATGGAACTGCCTATGATCCAGTGATTCCATTTCTGGGTATATATCCAAAGAAACTTAAAACACTAATTCAGGCCGCCATCAACAAATCATCAAACAACAAGTGTTGGCGAGGGTGTGGAGAAAAGGGGACTCTAGTACACTGCTGGTGGGAATGCGACTGGTGCAGCCACTATGAAAACCAATATGGTGTTACCTCAAAAAATTAAAAATTGAACTTCCATTTGACCCAGTGATCCCACTTCTAGGAATATACCCTAAGAAGCCTGAAACACCAATCAGAAAGAATATATGTACCCCCATGTTCGTAGCAGCACTATTTACAATAGCGAAGATCTGGAAATAGCCTAAGTTTCCATCAGTAGACGAATGGATAAAAAAGCTGTGGTACATATACACAATCGAGTACTACACAGCTGTAAGAAAGAAAGATCTCTTATCCTTTGAGACTACATGGAGGGACCTGGAAAGTATCATCCTAAGTGAAACAAGCCAAACAGAGAAAGACAAGTATCATATAATCTCACTTATTTGTGGAATATAATGAACATAATAGTCTGAGGAATGAGGTAGTCCCAGAGACGTGGAAGTGAAGTATAGACTGACAATCCCCAGAAGAGGGGGTGGTGGGGGAGAGATAAACCATAGAACTTATATGCATGTATACATGAACAATGGACATGGACAACAAAGCTGGGGACAGGGCAAGGAGGGAGGGGGAGGGGGGAATCGGGGGGGGAAAAGGAGAAACATCTGTAACAAAAATTAATAAAAAATAAATAAATAAATAAAATACTAATTCAAAAGACTATATGTACCCCTATGTTCACTGCAGCATTATTTACAATAGCCAAGCTATGGAAACAACCCATCATAGACAAGTGGATAAAAAAGTGGGGTACATATATACAACAGAATATTATTTGGCCATAAAAAAGAATGAAATCTCACTGGCCAGGTAGCTCAGTTGGTTGGAGTGTTGTCTCAATACGCCAAGGTTGCAAATTTGATCCCCAGTCAGGGCACATATAGATGTTTCTCTGTCTCTTTCTCTCTCCCTTCCTCTCTCTAAAATCAATTTTTAAAAAAAGAATGAAGTCTTACCATTTGTGACAACAGGGTATTATGCTCAGTGAAATAAGTCAGTAAGAGAAAGACAAGTACCATATGATTTCATTTAGATGTGGAATCTAATGAACAAACTAAACAAACAGAATAGAAATAGACTCATAGATACAGAGAACAGACTGATGGATGCCAGAGGGGAGGGGTTGGAGAACTGGGTGAAAGGTGAAGGGATTAAGAACTACAAATTGGTCATCACAAAATAGTCCCAAGGATGCAAGGTATAGCATAAGGTATGTAGCCAATAATATTGTAATAATTATGTATAGTGCCAGCTGGATACTTGAAGTATTGGGTATACCTTTGTAAAGTATATGACTGTCTAACCAGAATGCTGTATACCTAAAACTAAAACAAAATAAATAATACTGAACGTAAATTGTAACTAAAAAAAAAAAAAAAAAAAAATTTGCCCTGGCCGGTTTGGCTCAGCGGTTAGAGCGTCGGCCTGCGGTCCTGAGAGACCCGGGTTCGGTTCCCGCTAAGGGCGCGTACCTCGGTTGCAGTTTGTCCCCGGCCCTGGTCGGTTGTGCGGGTGGCAGCCACTCGATGTGTTCCTTTCACATCGATGTTTCTCTCTCTCTCTCTGTTCCTCTCTCTCCCTTCCACTCTACCTGAACAAAAAATGGAAAAAATGTCCTCGGGTGAGTATAAAAAAAAAAAAAAAAAAAGGATAAAAAAAAAAAAAAAATTTAAATTAAAAAAAAGAAATGTAGCATATATTTTATTTTATTCTCTATAAACATTTGCCTAAAATAAAAAGATTAAAACCAAAATGTCCAGTGGAAGAATTAACCAAAATTTTGCTATTTTTCATGCTTACCTGCAGTTTCTAAATTTTTAATAACAAACACATATTACTTACATCACAATAAAAGAATTGTCATTTAAAGAAAGTCTCTTTAAGAGCTGTAGTAATGTCTTCCAAGCATAAAAGGCCACTGTACTCAGCAGATCTTACATGCCTCATATTTATTATAAAGCAGTAGTTCTCAACCAGGGGCAATTTTGCCCTCAGCAGATGTCTGGCAATGACTGGAGTCATTTTTGGTTGTCATGACTCGGTGAGGGCTGCTTCTGGCATTTGGTGAGCAGAAGTCAGATTAACTGCTAAACATCTACAATGCACAGGACAGCCCCAATAACAAAGAATTATCCAGCCCCAAATCAACAATACTAAGGTTGAAAAATCCTGTTCTAAAAGATTAATGAGAATGAATGGAGAACTTCTTCCCCACAGCCTGATCAAGTCTCAGCTTCTCTGCTAGGACTGACAACAAAAACGTAAATGAGTTCTCACAGAAGCATGGCCAGAAGTCTATGTTGGATTGGCCTAATTAAATTATCTTCATGTTTCCAAACCAACCTCAGATATCAAGGGCTCAGCCTCCCTGGGATCACATTCTCAATGTAGCCCTAGAAAGAAAGCACAGAGTTCTCTCCTTATGTAAAAAAGCCATGCACTCCCCAGTCAATATTTTACCCATGAACATTTTAGTACTGTGGTAGTTTGTAATTATAAATTATTAAAAGCTCTAAACTGTGTCATGTCATATTTCTGTTTATCCCACATCTGTAAGCAAAACTCCATTTTCTTCGAAGTCTCTTTCCATAAAGCATAACATTATCTGCCAAAGGCAAGATTCCAGGGACTAAACAGGGAGCTATTTCTTGGATCTTAACTACATCCTCTGGACAAGCTTAATTTATAGACTAGCATCTCTTTGTCTACTGTCATGGAAAATTTTAAAAAACAAAAGAAGCCTTACAAATAAGCCAAAGCGATGATAAGGTGAAGTCTAAGGAGTACAACCACAGAAGACATACAAAGTCAACAACAACAACAAAAACACCAATGTTTTCCACAAATGGCAAAGGAGCCTGAAGAATGAAGAGACTTCTGACCTCGCTGGCCAGTCATAAGGACCCCGCCCCGCGGTCAATGAGCACCAGGGTAGGCACCGAAGAGCTGCAGCCAGAAATGCCTGAGGGAGGGCAGATGAGAAGAAATGGTTCACTTTCCTGAAATCCAGGAGTCTCATTCCAGTTTACTTTAGTTCCAGTTTTTCTCATCTATGGATCAAAGGCCATCAATGATGGTGAGCACAAAGACTAGACGTTTGAACCCAGAGGGTTTTTTGAACTAGGAACCATCATGCAACTCTGTAATGTTTTACTGTTATTTTATAGTACCCTACATTTATGTATATAGTCTATAAAACCATATAATACAACAGCAATGTTCCAACATACGTGAGGATTTGGTTCCATAGTGATTCTGGAGTAAGTGTAAGGAAGTTCTCCATACCATGCTGTGAGTCTCGGTTGCTGGTAAGTTACATCTAAGAAAGAAAATACGGGGCCTTTGAAATGATTTAATACTATTTAAGGTGCACCTACTGAGTGCCAACCATGATGCCATGCAATGTGCACAAAGCTACGAGAAACACAAAGGAAGAGCAAGGAGGGGCTCTGACCCAAGGCTCCACCTTCAGAGGACATGGGTTTCAAGAGAAGAATGGGTAAGAGTAGCCCAGCTGCTGTGGCTCAGTGGATGGATGTTGTCCATGGACTGAGAGGTTCCAGTCCGATTGCTGGTCAGGGCACATGCCAGGGTTGACGGCTCGATCTTCAGGAGGGGGCTTGCAGGAGGCAGCCAATCTACGTTTCTCTCTCACATCGATGTTTCTCTCTCTCTCCCTTCTTCTCTAAAAAAAAAAAAAAATCAATAAAAACATATTAAAAAAAAAAGCTAAAAGGAAGACGAGAAGGTATGTTGGCAAAAGCAGTATAAGCAAAGGCTCTGAGGTGAGAATGTGTGACTTAATTATGTCAGTTATGACATAAATAAGAATGGAGGAGTCAACAAGGGACAAGGAGGGTCTAAAAGCGGGGTATGGAGTCTGAACCCTTGAGGTAAGGATCTGTGGCACCGACATCCATACATGAAACAAGACAGCCATTCACTGCGTGTTGCCACTGCATAAGCCCTGTGATTCTAATAAAGAAAAAGCTCCCTGATCAGCATGTAGCTGATTTTAATCAGAAGTTTTTTATGTCCAATTTATTTAGAGAGGGAGTTATCCATAGATCTATTTTTCCCCACATTTGATATCAACCACTATAACAATAAGAACAATGATAATAAAAGCAGCTAACGCTTATTGAAGGCTTACTATGTACCAGGCATTCTGTTAAGTACTTATCATGCATTATCTCACTTAATTATCAAAACAACCTTGTAAGGTAGGTATTATATTTAGCTCCATTTTACAGATCAGAAAACTAAGAACTAGAAAATTACTTTACTCTAATTTGCTTAAAATGAACAATTACTTTGAATAACAGAATCAGCAAGCAAAGCCATGTCTGTCACCAAAAGCCCTGCTATAGAAGCTGCTGGGAGTCAGGAGAAAAAGTGGACTCTTGTTCTGATGTCTGAGTCACAAATGAAGCCAGTACACTTTGTCTCTTTCTTTACAGAAAATTTAAGAATTGAAGTTCACTTGATGTGCCAGAAAGGAACTGTATGCTAGAGCACAGACGCCTCTCAGTGGACACCGCTGGTACAACAGGTGCTGCTGCTTGTGGATGACCACAGAGGAGGAGGTTCCAAGTCAGGTCATCTTTACAAACTCACAAGAGTACAGATGCTGAAGCTACAGGAAGCTGGAATCTTCCAGTGAAACAAAAAAGAGACTAGAAAGCCGGTAAGAAGGATTACAAAAAAAAAAACGCACACCAAGCAGAGTCAGAAGAAAAGAAAGCCCTGGAAGTTTCCATGAAGAGAGAGGGAAGCTGGCGCCATTTGCTGTAATAAAGGCAGCGAACAACCGCAAAGGGAGCTAAGTATGTCGACCGCAGTTCAGCCAGCCCAAACTTCCTCTGCTTCCTTAACTCCCACCCATTCCCTGCCATGTTCTCTGAGTACCACCTGTTATTTCTTCTGTCCCCTTTCTCTGCCTGGCAAATTTCTACTCATCCTTGGGGTCCGTTAGATTTTGAACCTCTTTTTAAGACTGGCTGTGGTGAAGAGGCAACAGTATTGGAAAACACCCCAGAAAGGGAGGCCAGGCGGCAACACCTGCAGTCTCAGATCTACTTACCCTCTCTGATGCCGGTTCTCTGTTTCCAGGGAACATCCCGACAAAGCTGTTCCAACACCCAGTCAGCCTCTTTTAAGTCAACAAAGCCAGGATACAAACGCACCCTTGAAGTAGAAAGAAACATTAGTAACTAAACAACCTGTGTTTAGTTGGATTACAGACTATTAGCAGAGTAAATTATTCGGGATGATGCCTCCTTTCATGGGTAGATGAAGTCACCTTACACACCTGCCATGGCAAACAGAGCCAATATCACCCAGGTCATGATGCTCCGGATGTAAAATAAACACCTTTCGTGTTAAGACAAATAAAAGAAGCATAAAGGATAAAGGGATTCATGAGGGCTTTTATAGACATGGTTCAAATATTGCTCCATCACTGGTTAGCTGTGAAACCTCAGGCAATTTACTTAGCCTCTGAACCTTGGATTTTGTCATCTGTAACATGAAATTCATATTCACCTCAAAGGTCACTGTGAAAAGTAAAATAAGCCTGGCCCCGTGTTATCTTAACAATTGGTAGTCTTCCAAGACTATGCCAATTGGAAGGGAAATAATCATTTATGATTGCATTAAAATTAAAATATCCAAATGAGGGTTCTTTCTCTCATTGAATAGACACTTATTTCAACAACGCTCAGTCAGTTCAAAACCATTTTGAAGATCCTTCTTAAGACATGTTCTGAAAACCCATGGAACATTCTCTTGAACTTTTTTACTCTTTGAAGATGCATTCGATGTTTTGAAAGAGCCCAAGCTCACCTCACCATACCTGGTTAACAATCAGATGTGACCAAAATAATACAACTGGTTTCCTTGTGTGACTGTTAAACTTATTTTAAAAGAGAGGTTTCAGCCCTGGCCGGTTTGGCTCAGCGGTTAGAGCGTCCACCTGTGGTCCAGAGACACCTGGGTTCGGTTCCCGCGAAGGACACGTGCCTTGGTTGCAGTTTGTCCCTGGCCCTGGCTGGGTCGATGTGTCCCTTTCGTGTCGATGTTTCTCTCTCTCTCTCCCTCTCTCTCTTCCTCTCTCTCCCTCCCACTCTATCTGAACAAAAAATGGAAAAATGTCTTTGAGTGAGGATTTAAAAAAAAGAGGTTTCAAAAAGGGTTATAACAATGGCAGTGCCATGGTGCTAATTACAGAGACTTCTTCTAAGCAATTCATTTAGATATGTAAGTTCTGATATATTTAAATGCCTCATTATTTTATAGTGACAATTAGTATACTTGTGCATTAAGGTGACACTTTCAAAATGGTTTTAAAACAATGATTAATGTCACTTACCTAGATATGCCTGTGGATGACAGGCTGATTTCATATACACCCTCTTTGCTAAAGAAACAAAGCACACAGACTTGTTAGCATCAAACAAAACAATACACTCCACCCAGTGGAAGGGCTGTCCTCTGGAAGTGCCCAAGTTCTGGCTCACCAACGTCATTTAACAGCGAGGGAAAGCAGAGCCCCACCTGCTTCCACCACTGGAGGAAGGGGCGAGGTGGCAGTACACCATTAATGGCACCGGCAATGGAATCCTGACAGGATCAGACCACGGAGATGAAGACTGTAATAAATTCTGATCCAGCCCGGCCAGTGTGGCTCAGTGGTTGAGCATCGACCCATGCATCAAGAGGTCGCCAGTTCAATTCCTGGTCAGGGCACATGCCCAAGTTCTGGGCCCAATCCCCAGTAGGGGGCATGCAGGAGGCAGCCAATCAATGTTCTCTCTCATTGATGTTGCTATCTCTCTCCCTCTCCCTTCCTCTCTCTCTAAAATCAATAAAGAAAAAATAAAATAAAATAAATTCTGATCCTACCCCTTTCTGTTTCATCCATAATTTAGGCTGATATAGGCCATGAACCTATCACACAAAGGGGTGTCAAACAGAGCACACCTTTGGAGACTCTGGAATAGAGATGCATTTAACAGGTAGCAAGGGCTCTGAACATGTCTTTCAAATACATGTCTCATGAGGTTCCTCCTCTGATTAAAGTCTTTCAAAGGCTCTCCACCGATGCTCAGCATTGCATGTAAGGTCCCTGTGATTCTGCCCCTCTTCCTGACAGCTTGACCAACTCATCAGCCTCCAGCAACAGTTACTGCTCAGAAGCTCCTGACCACACCATTACGTTTCCAATCATGTGTTCTTCCACCTGCTGGAACACCTCCGGTCATCCAGCACCCCCAAACCAACCCACCCCAGCTCTGGTCCAGTGGAAACTTCTAATTCATCCTTCAAATGCAGCTCAGCATCACCTTCCAGTCCTTTAAATCACCCAAATGTTAACATCTCATCCTCTGACCTGACCATAAGACCTGACATACAAATCTACTGTTTCATGATACACAGGATTACAATTTACCAAATTACATGTCCATTTCATGCACTACACTGTGGGCTACTGAGGGGCAAGAAATGGGTTACTACTCTGTTTCCCAGTACCTAACACATAGTGGTTAAACAATAAAAGCTAAACGAATTTAATCAAAGATGCAAAAGTACAAACTGCTGCAGAAGATGTACAGGGTGGCAAGGTCCATGTAAGAGAAGTGATCCCGACTGGACAGGTGCCTCTATCAAGAAAACTGTGTCAGACCCTTCTCAGAGATAAGTGACTTTATACTACAAAGGGACAGTTTTTACATCACCCTCTGCCATGTGAGTTAGTAGTTCACAATCTCTGAGCTAGCTTTAGGCAGATGTGTGAGCCTCTCTGAGCCAAAATGCAGGCAGAACTACTGTCATATGTATGATATTCATCACTTTTCTAAATGTGTTGCCTATAAAGTTTCCCAGGGTGTGAATACAATGTTTCAACATGATATATTTTGGGCCACAGTTTAGAAGCTGGCTCACTTCAAATGTGAGACACATTTTTGGCTATTTAGAAAAAAAATCTAGCATAGCTGACTTTAGATAACCAAAATGAACAAACCCTAGGGTCAAGTAGGAATCAGTTCTATCATTTTGCTCCTGACTTGCAAACTCACAATTGCCCATCGTTCAGCCTGAATGACCGATCTATACATTGTAACAGGTTTCATAGTTTTGATTATTCTCTTTATCACCAACGGAGGCAATATCACATTGGAATTTGTAAAACTATCAAAGACTTTTAGAGCTACTAAACTGGGCCTTAAGTGAGTAAGTAGTCCAAACACTTAATATTACAGACAAAAAAACTACAGTCCAGAGAGATGGCAATAACTTACCTAAGGACTAATTACATAGCTAACTAATTACAAGGCCACAACAACATACCCTTGCTGGAAGTATGTTGACATTTGTGTTAGTTTCAAATATTTCTGAGATATCCAAGTCAACCTTTAACAGCCAAACAGCTTAAAAGACTACTCATGAGCAATAACATAAGCATAATGCTAAACTGCTAAAACAAAAGTATGCTTTCTACTGACGACTTATGTACATCAGATGGAAATTGAAAAGCAGGAAAAGAGAAGTCAAAGCATCTTGAACAATTTTTTAAAAGAACAACATTTTAGACACAGATTAATATATGAGGAATGGAATGTTTACTATCATTTACTTGCTCTGAAACAATTATATGGTTTTAAGAAATGGACTGTAAACTCATCAGGATTTCTAGCACCTTTCATAAGCATTGCTAGTAAAATGGTATCTAAAGGCTCCTCAAAAAGCCATGTTTCAGTGGCTCAGGAAAAATGCCCGTCAGTCTTAACCTAGGAGATATTTTAGCTTACTGTCTGCAGGTATATTAGTGAAATAAGGTCAGGAAATCTACACCAGAGTCAGAGTTTAACGTACAGATATCTTGTTGCATTTTCCACAACATCAGTAAATTCAGAAAGGCTTCTCAAAAGACCAAGTTTAAAGACATCTGAGATAGGAATATCCCAGCCTAAAATTAAGACACTAATTGAGCTGTTATCTGTTCTAGACAGAAAAACCAGGGTGAGGGCAAGACCCCCGGCTCTCCATTTCAGCATGGGCAATGGTTACAGGAAGGCAGCAAATTACTCACTCGATCACTCGCGGCTCCGGGGCTGTGCGCACCACCTGCGGGGAAACAGGCAGATCTGAATGGCTCCTCTCCCTCAGGGGGCTGACTTGCAGGACTGCCATATCCTCTCATTCTGGTCAAAATAAATCAGGTTTAAAACTATCCTTTTTTTAATTCCAAGCTCTTACTATCCCACCAGAAAATCTTGTTTCTGCTCTTCTTAGAACTACTTTACAGTTACTAGTGAGCATCAAAAGATAATACAATTGGAATCAATCCATTTTCCTAATAGCCAGCAGCTCTGGAAAAACCTTTCCAGGAGATTTTAAAAAATAGAAGATATTCTAAGAAGTAAGCAGTTTTAGTAATTTTTTATAAAATTATTACTATAGCACAGCAATTTTTAACTGGTGGGCCACAAGACTTTTTAAGACATGCAATACCTGACTATTTAGTAAGAGGCACTGACCTCTTTTCCCTTAGATAGTCAAATAAAAAAATGACAAGAGCCAACACAACAATAGCCATCCAGTGTGAATGCCGTATCTTGAATCATAAATATATAGGTCATAAAATAGAGTTGCATCTTATTGGTCATGGTCACATAATAAGGTTGCATTTGATTGGTTACTTCTCGGTACCAGAAATCCTTCTATACAAGTATAGGCACCGGATTCTTTGAAAAGTCACACTGGAGCCCTGGCCAGTTTGGATCAGCGGTTAGAGTGTCGGCCTGCGGTCTGGAGAGACCCGGGTTCGGTTCCCGCTAAGGGCACGTACTTCGGTTGCAGTTTGTCCCCGGCCCCGGTTGGTCGTGCGGGTGGCAGCCACTCGATGTGTCCCTTCATGTCGATGTTTCTCACTCTCTCTCCCTTCCTCTCTCTCCCTCCCACTCTATCTGTACAAAAAATGGAAAAATATCCTCGGGTGAGGATAAAAAAAAATAAAAAAAAAAGTCACACTGGAGCAAAAAGGGTAGGTAATGACTTTTTTTTTTTTTGGTAAACCAATCAAAAGTATACCTATTTTTTGGTGTGCTGTAGAATTTTAGAAATTAATTTATGTGTGCCATGAGATGAAAAAGGTTGAAAATCGCTGTTATAGCATGATGACTGATATTTAGCTCTTTTTCCCACATAATTAAAAACAGTGACTCTTCACTATTTCTTACATTTTCCCCGTGGAATACCAGCTAAAATATAAAGCATTACAGCCACTGGAATTTCAGTCCAATTCCAGAGACATTTGCTACACTAGTTCTGAAGATAGTGTAGCAAATGTCAGACTGTCAGGCCTTAGATAGCCAATGAAAGCTCTAGTTATGGGATAATCTCCAACCTCTAATCATGGTATAGCCTCTGTGCCAAAAAATTGGAATTATACATGCCCATAATTTAGGGGCAAACTACAAAGAATCCTCAGACATACTAAGAAATTGATACTCTACATTTCATTATTATTATAGACCTTTCACTCTCCCCTTATTTGTGAGTTTATTCAGTCACTACTTATTTGAGTGTCTACTATGTGACTATAACTTTTATAGACAAATCTTTGTTACTGTTGGAGGAGAAACAAGAATTTACCTGCTGGGGTTCTTTGAATACAAACTGTTTGTCTGACAGATGATGCTCCTGGTTTGTCCAGGTCTGACCAGGCCTCTGGTGGAGATGGCCCTTAGCAGAGGTAGCTGAAGCAAGAGAAAAAACAGGTTCAGACCAGGGGAAAGCCTGCTCTCATCCGCTACTGAGCAAACACTGATCAAATCCACTTCGAGATGACGTCTATGACATCACAAATTAATTAATAAAGTCTAGCCTAGCCGGTGTGGCTCAGTGGTTGAGCATCAACCCATGCACCATGCGGTCGCCAGTTCGATTCCCAGTCAGGGCACATGCCCAGGTTGTGGCCCCAATCCCCGGGAGGGAGGGGTGCAGGAAGTGGCCAATTGATGTTTTCTCTCATCTATGTTTCTATCTCTCTCCCTCTCCCTTCCTCTCTCTCTAAAATCAGTAAAGAAAACAATTTTTTAAAAAAATTAATAAAGTCTATTGAAGATCTCAACACACACATTGAAAGGCCCGAGTGTAGTGACTATGAGAGACACGAAAGATCACCATCAAGATATTCAGAAAAAATACCAGCCACATTTTAAATACTTCTTTAACATCTTAATAGGAGTCCATTATAAACCAAAGGGATATAAGTAAAAGAGGGCTGACAATTGTCCACATCCACATACAAAGGATCCCCAAAGATTCTAACCTGGCTGAGCAACGGCCTGGCTCTTAGCAGAGCCAGCCCAGGCTCCCTGAACACGGGTTCGCCGTCTTTTGTCCTCCATGTTGACTACAAAGGCTGCTGCTCTTAGCTTTCAGAAGATTTCATTCCTGATGTGAAACACACAATGGTGATCTGTTTTAAAAAAAACAATAACATGCTTTTAGTTGGGGTTGTGAGAAACTGTACTAAGGGTTAATTACAATTCTTTCGGGCAGAAGAAATTGTTCAACAGTAATCAGAGCTTCTACATAAAAGTCACTTGTCATCACATCTCAATCAAGGAGCCTACTCAGTCACTTAGGGCTGCTGGCCTTAAGGTTTACCTTTTGCAATCTTATTAGAGTACTTTCACTGTATTCACAAGGAAGCGCACGTAAAGAAATTCTAAAACTAGGACTATAAACCACATTACTTTTATTAGTCCCCAAGAGCAGAACTTAAGGAAACTAGTACTCTACCTACAAGAAACTGAGAAATAGGCTAAGACTGTTTCCAAGAACATTTCCACATCTTATTATCACTGGTTACATCAAATTTCCCTGGAAGCTTGTTAAAAATATCCATGGCCTTGCCCTGGCAGGGTGGCTCAGTTGGTTGAAGCGTCATCCTATACACCAAAAGTTGTGGGTTTGATTCCTGGTCAGGACACATAACCTAGGTTGCAGGTTCGATTTACAGTCAGGGCGCCTACAGGGGGCACTGATCGATGCTTCTCACATCGATGTTTCCCTTTGTCTCTCTCCCTTCCTCTCTCTCTAAAAATCAAAAAACACAAAAAAAGTCCATGGCCTGTCTTAAATCTAATGCAGGATGGATACAGGTGTAATAAGCATTGTAGGAAATACGTATGAGGACCACAAGGTTAAGTACCTCACTCAAAGTCAATAGCAGATATATTAACATTCACATTTCATTAACTTACACTCTTCAGCTAATTGAAGAATCTACCTCACAATGGTCAGTAATGTAATACGAATTTGACATTTTTACCAATAAAATTTTAGTTCACAGCAAACACAGGAGCATGCAGAGCTACAAAAAACAGGGAGGTTTGGGCCATGTGTTTTGCAACTGATCCATTTCTTTATGGGTTTATCTAAGACGGTTTCTCATGTCAGGTTCTCAAAGGTAACAAGCTTACTTCATAGCTTGTTTAGCCTACCAATGACCAGGCCCCGCCCCCCAACCTTCTGATTCAGTAGAGCTGGGCGGGACCCAGAAATCTGTTTAACAAATTCCCCAGGTATGAAATATGCAATGCTTCTCATTTAGTAAGTGGGGAGATAATAGAGGCTTGCCATCTGCCCCATAAGAGTTCATGGCAGAGTCAAATAACAACTCCTAAGTCCCAGAAGACATGTAGAGAAAGCCCTTGTTTGGCATTTTTCTCTCAATTGAGGCCTTAGAAGCTGAACACGACAGTTAGCTCTAGTTCATGCCCTGTTCACGGGGCGGCGCTATCATGTTTATACGTCCTGGGAGAGCTGTTGAAACTACAGATCCCAGACCTGGCGAATCTGTCAAGTGCAGAAACTGTTAGCCCCACCCTGCACCCGGTCACGCGGGAGACCCCGCGGCAGGGCAAAGAGCAAGGGCCCGGGACTCGCTTTGAACCCAGAGCTGTCCCTTCCCAGGTGCATAACCGGTGGCAAACGATTTCACCTTGCGGGGCCTCAGTTTCCTCCTCTGTACACAGGACACCGATCTCTCTCACGGCTGAACTGCAGATTAAACGGTCCTCCCAGGTGACAGAGCCTGGTCCTCAACAAGGGCTAGCAACGTTCTGTTTTAGGCCCTTCTCTTCCAGGAGGCTCGGGATGAGGTCCCGGAAGTCGCCTGGGAAGGGACCTCAGGGCGACCCCACACCACCGGCCCAAGCACCCACCGGTAAGCCGAGGGGCCACGGAAAGCAACCCTCAGCCCAGAACCTGATCGCAGTCTGCGGTCCGGGGAACCTTGAGAGTGCAGCACCGACTTTAGCAACTCCCAATCATAGGCCGTGGCGTCAGGTACTTCCTCTTACGTCACGCGCTGCCAGCGCCGCCGCTTCCGGCGCCAGCTCCTGGAGTCCGGGCTGCTCCGCATTCCCGGCTGCGGGAGGGCCGCCCATGTGAAGGTGCTGAAGGGAGCGCCGGAGGGGAATCACACGATTTGAGGGTTAAGTGGATCCCCGAAAGAAGCCGGGATCTGGAGAAGGTGAGAGTGCAGACGTGTTTCCTAGACCAGGGTCCGTCTGGATATCACCTCCACCCCCGCTGGAGACATCCAAGCATCTTTTTTTCCGCCCTCCTAGTGGAAGGGCGAGGGAGCTGGGGAACCAGGCGCTAAGCAAAAGGGTTTGAATTTTATCTGGAAAGCCATGGAGAGCCTAAGATGCACCTCTTCTGTTCCCATCGCAGGCTGTGCACACCTCAGCCAGGAACACAACAGGACGTGGGACCACGCCTTACCCTTCGTGGCTCTCCAGTGCTAAGCAAATTTCGCTTGCATGAACGGACCTACGTTTCAGTCCAGACGCCATTTACTATGTGTATAATCTATTTCTAGGGCAAGTATTCCGTTTCTCTATAAAATGGGCATAGCTCCTTTGGGGAGGATTAAATGAGATAGTGTATTCAGATAATTTGGCACGATGCCTGGTCCATCGTAGAAACTCAAATGTTAGAGTGTCTCAGCCTCATCTGAGTTCTTGAGAAATATCTTTAAAGTGGTCATGTTAAGCCATGTATCTTACAGGCTGAAAATAGCAAAAGTAGCACAAAATTAACTATTTTGTGCAAGTTATTAAGATCTACCAAAGTATAGTCACTGTAAAGGTCTTTAAAATAAGCCTCATATTATATACTGCTTACCTGCAGGGAGCTCAATGCACCCCACCAATGTACTTATATTGTCACTACTATCAAATCTAATTTGCACAGCATCCATTATTCTTTTTTACACCTTGTGACATTGAAGAAAAAGTTATTTATCCTGGAACTTAAAGGACAGAAAAGTGGTAAGATCGGTCTACAGTTTTTATATCCCATCCTCCATCAACTAGTAATTTGTCAGTGTCTGCTTCTGGCAGGGGAACCTTGGCTGTATCTTCCCAAGGATGTGATTTCTTTCCTTTTAAACGGTTATGGTTTTGGAACAAGAACAAATGAGTCTGGATTGAGGAGTCCCTAGAAGTAGTGTTCTCCAAGTATAACACGTCTCAAAAAGCAATACATAGCCCACTTGCATCCAAAATAACTGCATCTTTAACATAGTCACTTGTATTTTTACCAAGTGTCCAAGGTGATTGACACACAGAACATTTGAAAACCTTTCGGACCCATATAGGGTGACAAATTGTTCTAGTTTGTCTGGGGTGGGGTGGGAGTGGGGGTTTCCAGGATGCGTGGCTTTATACGTGCTAAAGCCAGGACAATCCTGGGCAAACTTGATCATCCTAGATACATGTGAAATACAGTATTAGAAAGATGATCTTGATGCAGCTTGGCATCCTGGGTTTCCTCCTTTCTATTTTCAGGATTTATTTTTATTAGGGGGGGGGGGGGTAGTGGAGACCCTGGAGAGGGAATGAAGGCAAGGTGCATTGCCAATTATTCCTCGATTCTCAGCCCCAAGCCCATCCTTCACTGCCCTGCTCTCCTTTTCCCTTTGGCCGGGTGTTATGTTTCATCTGTAGAGGGTGCTGGAGGGACATTAGAGGAAAAGGATCTTCCCGATTCCAGTGTGCGTTTCTCAGTGGGCTTTTCAGTGCATGGTGGCCAGCCATGCTTGGCAACTCTATGGGCTGAATTTCAGTGTAAGTTGAATTTACAGCCTTGTTTAGTTTCTCTTGTGAGGTTAAGGCCTTAATTTGGAAGGAATGGGATCCCAGAACTTGAAATAGGCACATCTTCTTGGGCCCAGATGACAGTGACAATTTTGAATACCCAAGGCCCCCTGAGCCTCCCTTGGCAGTGGAAGTAACTTGTCTTCCTACGTCTGAGGACAGTAGTTGTCCTTTGCTTGAAAACCTTGTGAAACCCTCACCTGGAGCTGATGATGTGAAAACTCCAGCACAGGTGTGTGCTTCCTGCCAGGTGAGAGCCTCCAGATGTGCACCTCCCTTTGTGTTCTGCCTCAACCTAGAGGTACTTTTAAGTGGCTGCTCCCTCTCTCTGCTATTTCTGTATTTTTAGAGTTTTTCTTTTCCCCTATGGGTAACTCCCTATTGTGGTTGATAATTTTTTTATTTTATTCCTGTTTGAATTACTATATAGTTCTATTTAAGTCCTATTACAGTATGATTATGATGTCAGCAATCGGGAGCAATGGCTAGCAAGTGACTGGCCCCAGGGTTGGCCTTAGACGGTAACAGATTTACCTCTGATTCGGACCCTATGATCTTGTACTACTCTCTTTAGCTGAGACAGCCCTCCTAAAGTCCCTGTAGGTTTTGCTGGTTCCGTTGCCTTGTCCCGTCTCTGAACCCAGCGTTTCTTCTTCCAGCACATGGTTGGTCTTCCAGCACATGGTTGGAAGGCCATCTGCAGAGTCACTAGGCAAATGCTCGTAAACACTGAAGATTCCAGTCCCCCATCAAGATTCTGAGTTAGCAGGTCTGGGGCAGGGCCCCGCATTCTATGTATTAACCGTGCCTGCTTTCATTTGGCAAGAACCTTTAAGAGTTCTTCCAGCTGACTTTCTCCAGGTGATCACCTTTCCACTCAATAGTTATCTCATCCTCTAGATGGCAAAGCTTATCGATATTTTAAGTGCTGATAACTCTTAGAAATGACTATGGGCGAGTCGCACACTGCAGCCTATTTTCAGTTGCTGGTTTTCACACAGACTCTTGCCCAACATGCCCTGTTTCAGTCATGTGCCACTTATGGAGTGCCTGCTGCTGAATTCCTGAGAACCTCCATCCAAGGAAAGTAATGGTGCATCACGCTAATAGCTCTCAGTGAAGGTGTTGCAGAGAGAACTTCCCAGCCTGTGTCTCACTGCCCAAAGCTTAGCAGTTCCCAGCTTGAGGAAGGAGGGTGGGACAGGAACCTGCCAACCCTGCAGCGTGTTTGCGCGGAGGCTTTCAAGTCTTGGCCAACTTCAAACAACACTGAGGGAGAGAGGATGCTTCCCCAGACTCCAGACAGGAACTCCTCCTGTTCCATGCCCAGCACGACTGCAGATGCTGCCAGAGATAAAGCCTTCCAGAAACCACAGTGTGAACGATGTGAGGTAAATGAAAGAACAGCATACTTGGATGGGAAATTGTGGAGCGCAGACAAAAAGCTGGGACCAGAGAGTTCACTAGAGGTCATAGTCATCAGCAAAGGCTTACGGCGAACAGAGAATTATGTCAAGGTTCTAAAATACGTAGCACTCAGAAGGCCCAAAGGTATTCTGATATTACAGTACCCCTAAAAAGAGCAGGCAACATTTATTTACATGTTATTTCTACAGAATAACAAATAAAAATACTATTTAACATCTACCGAGTGTCTTGCATGCCAACTGCTGTTCTAATTACTCACCTGCGGATCTAATTTTCAGAACAACCTTATGATGTAGGTAGTATAAATATTAGTCCCATTTACAAAGGAGTAAACTGAACCATGATGCTGCATGATGCCACCATCCCACTGCACATACATGGCAGAATGATAGCCAAGTTAGGAAAGACAGGACTGATCATTCCTGGAATGATATATGGGGCCATCTCCTGGTTTTTTCCCAATGACTTCGGGAGTGAAGGGTTGGTAGCGATATAACACAGTATGGAATATGGGAATTCTGTGCTTTTTGCTCAGTTTTCCTGTAAACCTAAAACAAAAATTAAATATACAGTCTATTAATTTTTTTAAAAAGACAATAGAAAATACCCAAACTGAAGCACATAGAAAAAAGCTGGAAGACACTGGAGGCTTCTGGCAGTACGGTTGAATAACACGACTCTATTCTGGCTAAAACAGAACAAATATACAGAGCAGCCACAAAGTCCCTATGAATGGTAGTTTGAAGTTGTGAGTATGGCTCCTCTGTTCTCTGCTGAAATTTAAAAATATCCCTTTATTGCACTGGCCGGTTTGGCTCAACGGTTAGAGCGTCGGCCTGCGGTCCAGAGAGACCCAGGTTCGGTTCCCGCTAAGGGCACTTACCTCGGTTGCAGTTTGTCCCCGGCCCTGGTTGGGCCCTGTGGGAGGCAGCCACTCGATGTGTCCCTTTCACGTCGATGTTTCTCTCCCTCTCTTCCTCTCTCTCCTTCCCACTCTATCTGAACAAAAAATAGAAAAATGTCCTCAGGTGAGGATAAAAAAAATGTCCCTTATAGTCCTATCATATGTCTATTAGCTTACATCAGAATCCCTACCCAGAAGAAATGTAAAACAATTACCCAGAACTCCTGCAAAATGAATCTGTGACTACTCTATACAATTTAATGCAAGGCTGGAGTCACACCAAAAATTAGTACTATCTCCAAGGGAAGGAAACAACACAGACCAGAAGGGGGGAAGGGGAGAAGAGACTGATTTCAGAGCTAGAAGCAGTGAGTAGGAGGGAAATAAGAAATCAGTGGTTGCCCCTTGGGGGAAACACCAGAACCAGCAGGAAACCCAGAATCATTACAGGCTGGGCGAACTAAGCCCGGGACCCCGCATGGGCTCGGGTGCCTCCAGCGGAGCGACAGTGGACTGGGCTGGTACTTCCCAGGCTGCCAACAGACAGACGCAAACAAATTTACCTTTGAAGAACATCCCGATTTAGCCCTCAGGATTCTTCTCCAGATTAAAACCAATAGGATTTCAAAATAAAAATAACCAAACACAGACAAAAACAAACCATTTTCTGAGTGAGAGTCAGGACAAATATAAACAATAGATTTAAACTCCTAAGAATTTCAGGTATAAGAATCACCAGATATGGAATATAAAATGCCAATGTGTGAAATAC